GTCGGAAGGGACGGCGGACCATTCCTAAGGCAAGGGAAACAACGCGGCCCCAGAACACTGGGGTTCAGAGTGGGAAGGTGCGCAGCCTGTGCGGGCAGTGGGAAGGAAAGACCTCTCATGGCAGCTGACCCTGCGTCTGCGGGAGCCAGGAGGGGAAGGGAAACCAGACCTAAAGCCGGCAGAGCGGGGTAACCAAGGTCAGAGCAGTGACGAGACAGCAGAGACAGGAAAGCAGCACGGGAAGCCAGCAGAACCAACGGGCTCTCTGGAAAGATCTGGGAAAGGACAAGCCTGTGATGGAAGGGCTAGGGACAAAGGAGCAGGTTCGATGGCTGAAATGGAAAAGGACAGTGGCAGGGCAGTGAGTGACCCCTTGCTTGAACTGATCCCTGGACAGAGCTGATGCCACTCCTGGGAATTTCCCAGTGGAGCTCACCAACTGAAGACTGCCCACTTGATGGTGGGCTCTGTCAAGAGGGAGAGGTGTGTGCCTGCCGTGGAATTCTGTAGTTCATGGCTTTGAGTTCCATGCCAGCTCCCGGGACAGAGGCAGGGACGGAGGAGTCTGGCACAGCAAGATGACCGCATGTTCCCCCGGTGAGATCCTCAAGCCTGCCCGCTCAGCAGGTGCTCTTAACAAGGGCTTCCTGGATGCCACAGGAAACCCCACACACTGCAGCTGTGAAGTGGCAACACGTGTGTCTCTAGCCCTGAACTTTCTGGTGCACAAAGAACCACGCCGCCATAGCCTTTGACCCTCTGATTCTGAGCCCCTATATCAGTAGACTTGCTGGCCAGCTCCTGAGTCCCTGTGTCTCCACCAGAGTGCACGTTCCCCGATCCCAGCTTTCTCTCTGTACCTGTGTGTGATTTTTCTTAATCTCCCGTCAACTCTCGCTGGTTTCTCGGGATCGGCTGTACAAGTTGCAGCAAAAAGGGACACTACTGCAACTCTACAGAGATAAAACTATCCCAAGAGGGCACCGTGAGCAGCACAGGCCACAATGCCCACTCCCAGGACACCACCTGACAGTCAGTTCTGAGGAGTGACCAATAGCAAAAGCACAATTCTCAGGGGGCAAAGCCAGAACGTTCCAGGAGAGGTCCCAGGACCCTACAGACTTCCCAGGAATGCCTTCAAATATTTACCAAAGAGTGACACCAGTGCTTCTCAAATCCTTCCAAAATACTGGGGAGGAAGGGATGCTCGTCTGTGAAGCCATCCTAGGGCACTGCAGGAAGGGAGAAGAGAGACCAGCACCCCAAGCACATTTATGCAAAGACCCCAGAAAAGTGCTAATGGACTAATGCAGTGGGATTTTAAAGCATTAACCCCCACCCCCGGCCAAGGGCGTTCTATCCCTGGGAGGCAAGGATGGCTTAAGATTTGGAGATCAACCAATGAAGTGCACCACATTAACATCCTCACATGGCAACCACACACAGGGAACGTGACCTGGGAGGGAAGCACTGAATATGACAGAGCCTTCCTCCAGGGTCAGGCAAGATGCAGGTTCCCCATTGATCATTGTTCAAGGCAGAAGTGGAAGCTTTAGCCAGAGCAACGAGGCAGGAGGAAGGCATGAGCCACCCAAATTGGGAAGGAAGAAGTGAAACTACCGTCACAGGCGATGTCAGCCTCAGGCAGAACACCCTGAAACCTCCACAGAGGGCTGTGCTGCTAATAGAAGCCCTACAAGCTGCCAGGCATTGGCAAGGGACACATGAGGAAATGGCTCCACTCACAGAGCACCAACAAGGGGAGACATTCGTATGTCTGACCAAGCAGGCAAAAGATCTGCACTCCAAAAACTACCGAATGTGGTTGGAGAAGCATTTTGAAGACACAAAAAAATGGGAAACAACCTATATTCATGGATCTCAAGACTTGGTATGGACGAGATGGTGATGTTACCCAAAGAATCTACAGAGTCCATGCATCTGGAAAGAAATTCCAGTGGTGCACTTAATAGGACCAGAAAAATCCATCCAAAAATTCATGTGCGATCTCATAGGACCCTGAGTAGCCAAAATATTCTCAAGGAAGAAGAATGAACTTGGAGGACTCCAACCTGCTGATTTCAAAACTTAATAAATACAAAACTTCAACAAAGGAAACGGCTGTAGTGCTGGCATACAGCAGCTGGGAATGAACACTCCACATGGCCAACTGGGTCCAGACTTGTGTGCAAGAGCTCGCGGTCTTTCCAACACACACGCAGTTCTGGAAACACTAGATGTGCAGGTGCAAGAGGGCAGCTAGACCCTTGCCTCACACCCACGAGCTCAGGAGTGCACCAAACAGCCCAGAGGCAGACACAAGAGCTGAACCATGAAACTCCTAGATGAGAACCGAGGGCGCTCGTGTCATTGAACCTGGCAGTGACTCATCAGACATGACAACAGAACACAAGCCACACAAGACAATCGGTAAGTGGGACATCAGCACTAAAAACGCAAAAAGGTGAGGACCGAAGAAAATGCCTTTAAATCACTTACCTGAGAAGGACCGGCACCGGAGACACAGAAAGAACTAAACAACTAATGCCCCAAACAGCAGAAAACCCACTCATCAGTGGACAGAGGACATGGCAGGCACTATCCCAAAGAAGACATGTGGATGGGCAGTGGGCTCATGGAAAGAGCACCACAGGGAGAGGCTTAGGGAATGAACACCAAAACCAGAGGCTGCCTCTCACCCAAGCCAGAAGACAGCCAGCTGGGGACTCGAACGGCGTCCCTGTGGTGTGACTGTAAAATGGAGCAGCTGCCGTGGCAGAGGGACAGCTCCTCAAAGCCACCACATGGCCCTGCCAGCCCACTCCTGGCTCGGCCAGGGACGGAGAGCTGGGGACTCCTGCGGGCTGTCGCCACAGCATTGGCCACAGCACAAGGGCCATTGGCCATGTGGACAACCCTATGTCAGGGCTGAGCCCTCAGGGCCGTCCACCAGGGCTGAGGGTGAGCAGGGCTGGGCAGTTGGAGACAGTGGGCGGTGGCTTGGGCTGGTAGCAGCTGTGGCAAGAGGTGGCATATGTGGAGACGGCCTCTGGAGGGGACTGGGGAAGGTGTCATGGCCCACAGGGTCAAGGCAGGCCCTCACTCCTCATGGGATGAGTCGTCCAGGGCGATGTGCCCTCCCGAGGCTCTGTGCAGTCCCCTTTGTCTGGGCTCAGAGGCTAGAATGATGGACAGGGACTCGCCCCAGGCTGGGCCAGGCTCCACCGTCAGAGCCACAGGGCAGGTTCCTGGCACAGCCCGGGGGGCCGCTGGCCAGCTCCCCCTTCCCAGCAGGAACAGCCGTGTCCCTTCCTCCTTACCCCTGCTCCCTGCTCCTTCAACTGTGAAGAGGTAAACTGGCCCCGCAGGCTGAGCAAACAGGCTGGGTGGCTGGCCACATCCGGGTGTCTCAATAGCCGTGACCCTGACCGGCCACACTGGGCCTGTCCTGCCCTGTCCATGGGAGGGTGCCCAGGCAGTCCAAGGGCAGGACCTGGGTTGGGGCTGCAGCTGCCCCCCTGACCACAAGCCTTTGTTGAGCGCTGAACCCATCCTGAACACAGGGCTGAGCCCACCCCTGAGGAGCTCCATCTAGGAGAAGGTGGGCAAGGACAGGCAGGACACCCTGACTCAACAAAGGGCTGGAGTACGCCGGACCCCAGGTCAGCAAGGACAGAGGCCTCAGGGCTGCTGGAGCAGGGGAGAGGTGGCCACCCAGGCAGTGGACCCACACCTAGCAACATCCGGGGTGGTGCCCAGGTGCTCTTGCCACCAGCTTTTTGCCCAACCTGTGGGAAGACCGGGGAGAATGGGGTCCAGCAAGTGAGCAGCCCATGAGCACAGAGGGTCCAGGCCAGGGTACCAGCCCACCCCACGCCAGGGTGGGGGTCCTTCCAGCCCTGCAGCAATGGGCTGGATATGAAAGAAAACTTTGGAGACCATGAAAACCTTATCCCTGGGAACCTGCAACTTGGGGAATGACGGGGTGGGGACGAGCCAGTTGGAACACTAGCCTGGGATCCTGAGGTCAGAGCCCAGGCTCTCTAGGGACAGCCCAGGACCAGGCGGTCCGCCATGTGGGATCCTGAGGCCTCCCCACAGCAGGCCTTCATTAAAGGAACAGTGGACAAAGGGGAAGACAGGTCCCGGCTTGGCCAGCAGCCCTCTTGAGCCCAGGGGCAGTCTGTGGGGCCATTGGTCAAGCAAGGGGTGATAGTCAGCAAAATGTGTCAAAAACTTTTGAAATCATTATTACGGTACAATGCCCAAGACCCAGAAGTCCCCATCCTGACCACATTTAGTGCACGGGGCCTTAGGCACTCACACTGCGCGGCTGTCAGAGCTTCCTCACCTCCAAGCTGGAGCGCTGCGCCCGTTGAGCACCACTCCCTCTCCCAGTCCCTCTCCTCCTCCTCCGTGTCTGTGATTGACCACAGAAGGGACCTCATGTGAGTGTCCTTCTGTGATCCTCTTATCATCTCACCCAGCTCGGCCCTCAAGTTTGCAGGATACATCAGAATGCCCTTGGAAAGCTGCGTGCTCCCCTGTGCAGGTGGACCACATTTTGTTTGCCACTCATCCACCGTGGGCTGCTCCACCTCTCAGGAGCTGGGGAGGATGCTGTGAGGACTACAGGTGCAAGGATCTGAGTCCCTGCTTTTGATTCTTTGGGGCAAGTACCTAGGAGAGGGATACTGGATCACACAGAGATTTTAGTTTCATCTTTTTGAGGAACCACAGGGCGTACCCCTTTTTGAGGGCTGTTCTTCACGCGGCCACGCCCTTCTCCAGCCCACCCTCAGGATGCAGGCTTCTGCTTTCTCCACGTCCTTGACAGCCCTCGCTGTCCTCTCTCTCTCTCTCTCTCTCTCATCACAGCCAGCCTAGTGGGCATGGAGTGGTTCCGGTTTTAAGATGGGTTACCATTTTCCCAGTAATTCCACCTCTACAAATTCATCCTCAGAGATACAGACCCAGGGGAGCAGGGTGTGGCTACCGAGATGCTGATCTTGCAGCAAACAAAACAAGCAGACCTAGAAAACTCCCGAGTGCTCCAGCAGCTGGCTGAGCCACAGGCCCTGGTGCTCCCTGACCTGGGGTCCACCCCAGGGCAGATTCTCAGACTGCAAGACAGGGAACGGAAAGCCCAGTGTCCGTCAAACAGGGAAGAAGCGCTAAGCCAGGGCATCCGCGTATGCATCCTGTAGAGGGTGCTGGTAGAGGCTGTTCACAGTCCAGCAGTGGCCACCCTGTGCCTGGGAAGCTTGACAAGCACATTTAAAGGCTGGGGCCTAGAGGCCCCTGCTTGGGCAGGGTGGGCAGTGGGGCCAGGAAACCCCAGCGGCCCTCATTGCCACCACTCCCCAGCCTGTGTGCAGCACCCTTGCCTGTCCAGGACCCCGGGAGTGCACACTGCCTCACCCCCACACAGGTGTGACAAGCTGGCTCTGGAGGAGGTGCGGGATGCAGGCGCTTCTGGCCTGCCTTGGCCAGCCAGCCTTGAGCCTCTCTCCCCAGCAGAGTGAAGCCTCGTGCCTTCCCAGAGGGCTCTCCGAGCGCACTGGGGTCTCTGCACCTGGATCCTCCACCCAGGAAGCCCGTGAGTCACAAAGATCAGGTACACATGACCAAGGGGCATTCCTGAGCTGAGCAGGAGCCATGGGGCCAAGCCAGGCAATGACCCTAGAGAAGTCAGTCTGCCCACAGTGCCTTGTCACTCATCAGGGACCATGAGCTGACGCAGGCTAGGCCCTCCACCCCTCCAGCCCACTCCTCTGTGGGCCAAGTTCCAGGAGGAGCTGACGTTGGGCAGGTCTGCGACTGCCCTCCCCACAGGCCCAGGAGCTCTGTATCCAGAGCAGCCCGGCCAGTGGCCCTGCCCTCTCCCTCCCAATCATCAGAAGCTGCAGGGGGTGGAGAGGGTGACCCCTGTCTGGTGGCACAGAGCTGCAAATCCTTCCTCCTCCAGGCCTCTTTCCTGCCCCGGCCCCTCCCCAAGAACAAACACCCTGGCTGCCTGGAGCGGACAGTGCCCTACCTGGCCTTGAAGCTGGGCCAATGTGCTCCACTACATAAGCCCAGGCCCCCAGAGAGGGAGCACCTTGCCCCACTCCCTCCTCGACTGCCGGCCCGCCGTGCCAGCCCCAGGATGGGCACCAGCAGCAGGAGCTGGGCACTGGTGTGGGCCCTCGAAGCCCTGCTCATGGTGTGGCCGGCAGGTAAGGCCAAAGCCCCTCGCTCTCTCGATGCCGTTTTCCCGTAGGGTAGCCTCTACCCGGGCATTTTCCTGACCAGCTGGACACAATGCCCTCTCCACATGTCTGACACCATGGCCCCCTGGCCTCATGGGACTCCTGGTCCTCAGCCCACGTCCCACTCGGGCCAACAGAGTGCCAGGAACCAGAGACCAGCTCGGCTGAGGGTGTTGGGGAGAAGATCCTCAGCCTCGGGGCAGGGCCCTGGGAGGAACCCCTGAGGATCTTGGCTTCAGGTTGGAGCAGGAGAGGCCATCAGCAAGGGGCACGGCTGGGATCTCCCCGGGGCTCTGAGAGGCCCAGCTTCACAGTGAGGAGGGGCAGCCCCGACATGTTCCTCTGCCCAGGTCCAGCCTGTCCTCCACAGCTGGGATAACAGCTGGCAGAGCACCACCCCCAGTGGGGCTGGGCCTCCTGGTAAGGGGGAACTATGTCTGGGTAATAGGGCTAGAGCCAGGTGGACAAGTAAGGCCCAGAGCTGCCACCTGAGCCCAGGGCTGACCTGGGTTCCTAACATCCTGCCTGCCTGCCATGCATCTTCTGCCACACAGGCTGCATGGCCCTTGTCACCCAGCTGTTTCTCTTAGCTGTCTATTCTTGGGAAAGCCACGGTGCTAATACTTACTGTCATCAGGGAAAGACATGGCCCTAGTGAGCTGGGCATGGCTGCCTGGGGCCCAGCCTCCCCAGCTCTGCTCCCATTGGAGCTCAGGGCCTGGGCAGACCCGAGATCACCTCCGGTGACCAGGAGGCACGGGGGTTCTTAGAGGACTGGGGCTGGGGTGATTCCTTCTCCAGGGCCGGGGAAAGCTGTGGAGGCCCTGCCCGCTGCCAGGTTTGGATGCTAGCCTGCTCTGCTCAGCCATGTGCCCCCCTATCCAGGCTCTTGGGGGCCTGAGCAGGGTGGGCCTGCTCCTCTAACTCTCTGGTTTGGTGGGGGCAAATAAAGCCAGAAGTGGACTTGATTTTTGTCACAGCTGTGGCTGATGGGGTAAGCTGGACCCTGCAGAGGGATTCAGGTCTCTCTCTCCTAGACATGTTAGCTCATGGGATTGTGTATCCAGACCAGGTGCTCCCAGTGGCTGACAGCTGGCATTTCTCTGCCAGTGACAGAGACGGAGATGCAGGCTGCCTGGCCTGAGGAGGGCCTGCACAGGGCGGATGCACACAGGTTGGGGGTGGTTTGAGCCGGGTGTGACACCTGGCATTGTTGAGACTGAAACAGTAGGTGGCAGGGGCCAGGCTGGGCCATCTATCTGTGCTGGGGAGGGGCTGTGGGTCTGGGGCCAGGGGTGCTGAGAGGGAGTGGCCGTGCTTCTGGGAAAAGCAGTCAAGCAGGGTCCTTGAATGGGATTCATGCACGGCCAGTCCCTGCGGTTTCCAGTCTCCAGCAGGACATGGCTGGGAAAATCAAACAGGAGGCTGAGCTGCTGTGGCATCGAGTGAGTGTGGCTGTGTCCAGGCCTGAGTGCCAGAGTGGGGACCTGGCCCCTTGTAGAGCAGCTGGCCTCACCCGAGCCACTAGGGCCCTGGGAGCCTGTGAGGTTGAAGCTGCCCCTCTCCAGGCTCCCCAGAAGTCAGGCTGGTGGACGCAGCCTTGCCGAGAGGCAGCGGGCAGTTCAGGTCACCTTGGACAACCATCCCCATACCGGGAGCCGGATACCTGATCTGACTCATGGTTCCAACTGGGACCTGGTTCTGGTCTTGGGTTTCTGCTAAGTCACACCTGGAAATCTTCAACTGTGGTCCACCCTCACAAAGCTGGTCTTTGTCCCCTGGGACAGGAGGCATGGGGCAGAACCCCCTAGATGGTAGCCATGGTTCAGGGACCAGGACCATTTCCTGATTCCATTCTCTTCCTTGAGCTGGTGGGGGCATCTGCCCTGTCACTCGAGAGATGAGTGTCACTGGCAGGGCTCACTTTGCCTGGGGGCAGCACAGAGCTCCAAGGCAGCCAGCCAGCTTCTGTGTGTTGAGTGGCAGGGCTGGGGCACACAGTAGGCAGGGCTGCTGGTGCTGGGCCGAGTCCTGTCCAGTTCCCAGAGCTGCTGTGCAGAGATGGGCCTCAGGCCAGAGCCTGTCATGGTCAAGGCTGCTGATAGGTCTGGCTTCTCTTTGATTTCCATCCCCTTTCCCGCAGAGACGCAGGGCCATGAGGAGCTGAGCTTGGGGAACCCAGAACCCACCCAGGACCATCACAGGACAAATAGTGGTATGTGTCCTAGGCTCTGGTATGAGGGCTCCTGACCAGGCAGAGGGTTCCAGCCAGGCAAGGTGACACCTTTTCACATAGCCATGTGTCCCACCAAGACCCTCCTGGATGGTGCCAGGCATAAGGAGTTCCAGAGAAGACAGAGTGTGGAGCACAGGATCAGATGCTCCCATGTGGTGAGCGTGCACGTGTTCACACACATATACACACGACTCATGCAGACAGAAACACACAGGGCAGGAGTGCTTCCAGGGTCTAGGAGTGTCCAGAGGTGAGCAATGAAGAACACGACAGCCCTACCACCTGGACCAATGCATTAGTCCTGGGCTCCCCAGTGTCCCTGGGGTGGGTATCACAGAGGGCAGGGGGCCTGGGAAGGGCACACCAAGTGACCTGGCCCTCACTTGTAGTCTACCTCCCGTCCTCGTCTGCCTGGCCTGTGGTCTTTCCACCTACCACCATCATGCCCAGCACAAGCTGTAAGTAGACGGCACCCCCACCAGCTGGGGTGGGGGTCACAGACCTGGGGGTCAGGGTGGTACAGTGTGGGGCAACCAGGCAGCTCTGGGCAGGGCCTGAGGCTTCCCGGCGGACAGCTGCCGAGCACCCTGGGGCAGAGCGCCCTGTCGCAGGTGGGAGGACTGGTGCGTCAGCGCAGCTCCAAGAGCAGCGTGGTCGCCAGCTTTCCTGCTCCAACACAGGTGCCTGGTCTCTGTGGGGGGGGCTGGCACAGAGTGGGCAGAGGGCGTGGGGTGGGGACATGCAGAGGTGGCTCCATCACACGGCTCCCTGCAGCCCTGAACCGGGCCCACAACGGGCGGGTGTGCAGCACCTGGGGCGACTTCCACTACAAGACCTTCGACGGCGACATCTTCCGCTTCCCGGGCCTGTGCAACTACGTGTTCTCTGCCCACTGTGGAGCCGCCTACGAGGACTTCAACCTGCAGATGCGCCGCAGCTTGGCAGGCTCCAGTTCCACCATCAGCCGCATTGTCCTCAAGACCCAGGGGCTGGTGCTGGAGCTGTCCCACAGCTCTGTCCTTGTCAATGGACAGCGGTGAGCAGGGCCCTGGGGAGCCACCACCAGTCTTCTGGGTCCCAATCCCTCGCCACTACCACGACTCCCAGGTGGGGCCAGGACCAGAGCCAGAAGGGCTCTGGGACCCACTCATGCCCTGCTGAGGGAGGATTGGAACTTTCTTCCCAGGGAGGAGCTGCCCTACAGCCGTGCTGGCTTCCTGGTAGAGCAGAGTGGTGACTACGTGAAGGTCAGCGTCCAGCTGCTGCTGACCTTTCTGTGGAATGGGAGGGACAGTGCCCTGGTAAGCATCATCATCATAGGGACATACAGGGGGTTGGAGGGGACCTTTCTGACCCCCAGGGCAGGTGGAATGGGGGGACATACCAGGCAGGCCCTGGAGCCAGGGGCCATGTGACCAAATGGAGCTGCCCCTGTTCTGTCCTCAGCTGGAACTGGACTCTAAGTATGCCAACCAGACATGTGGGCTGTGCGGAGACTTCAACGGGCTCCCAGCCAGCAATGAATTCTTTGTCCACAGTGAGTGCTGCCTGGGCCAGGGACCAGTGTGCCCAGCCAGCCAAGGGCCGACAGTCCCAGGGAGCCCAGGAAGGCAGATTTGGGCAGGGGCACCGGCATGGAGGGAGGTGGGGTGGGTATGCCATTTGGGGGGTGTGGGATTCTCCTGTTGGCTGACTGCAGGGGTCCGTCTCCCGGCTCCTGGGCCTGCAGCTCTACCCACACTGTGCTTTCTCCCTGGTAGATGCCAGGCTGAGCCCTCTCCAGTTTGGTACCCTACAGAAGCTCGATGGTCCTACGGAGACCTGCCAGGACCCCCTGCCCTCACTGGACAACAACTGCACGTATGAAGTGAGCACTTTCTCCATGGGACCCCAGCGGGTAGGAACAGCAGGAGGCCTTGGCAGCTGATGTGGGGCCATGGTCTAAGTTCTGAGGAGCGTCCTTGCCTGACAGAGGAGAGTGGGTCTCTGTTTCCCATACAGTCAGAGGCTGGGCACTGGTGTGTGGACCCCAGGAAGGCAGTCAGCCCAGCGCCCACCAGCAGAACAGAATGGGCCTGGGAAGTTGGGTGACTCTAGGGCACACATGCTCCAGGTGGGTGGGTGGCATACACCAGAAGCCCAAGTGCCTGCCTCTATCAGGTTGGGCCAAGGAGGCACCCAGAGATCCCAGAACAAGAAGCCCTTACCAATATCACAGAGGACTCCTCCTTTGGATGTGGCCTGGAATGGGTAGGTGGATGGATGGGTGTGTGGGTGGATGGGTGGGTTGCTGGGTGAGTGGAAGGAATCTCAAGGGGAAGGAGGGATTCCTTGGTCTGGTCTGTAAGGGGCAGTGTCCCCAGATAAGCACAGTGGCAATCCTACAGCCTCCCTGTCCCCCCCCAGGAGGACATCTGCCACTGCACCCTGCTGGGCCCGGCCTTCGCTGAGTGCAATAAGCTGGTGGACCCCGATCCGTATGTGACTGCCTGTGTCCAGGATCTGTGCCACTGCCCCACATGCCCATGTGCTACCATTGCCGAGTATTCCCGCCAGTGTGCCCAAGCAGGGGGCCAGCCACAGAACTGGAGGGGCCCCAAACTCTGCCGTGAGTGCCCCCCACAGGGCCCAGGGCATACACTGGGAGTCAGTGCCTGGCATCTGGCTGGAGAGACAACAGGGAAGAAACGGCTACTCAGGGGCCCCAAAAAGAGGAGCAAGTGAGGAGAGAGGCAGGTGACGGGATAGCTGTGGAGACAGCACGGAAGTGAAACCTCGGGGGCTGGGGGCCCAGAGGGAGGACCTGGACCTCAGGCACAGTGAGCAGACATGTGTCAGGACCTCAGGGCACGGTGGGAAGAAGGGCATGTGGGAGGCATTGGGCCCAGGCGTCCCTCACATCCTGCCTCTCCCAGGAGACACCTTTTGGGGACCTTGGTGGACATGGAGGCAGGGAATGGGTGCAGTCCCAGCTGACCTGAGTGGTTGGATGGGACCCCTGGGCTAAGGGCCGCCTCCCTATTGCAGCACGGACGTGCCCCATGAACATGCAGCACCAGGAGTGTGGCTCGTCCTGCACCGACACCTGCTCCAACCCCCAGCGCTCCCAGCTCTGCGAGGACCACTGTGTGGCCGGCTGCTTCTGCCCTCCAGGCAGGCCTGTGCCCTTTGCCCCACTGTTAGCACCTTCAGGGTCACTGTCTCCGACATCTGACCCCAGCATCTGCTGAGGGCCCAGGACAGCCCTCCTCACCTTGGAGGGCTGGAGGGCCCTACCTGGGGTCCCACCCAAGGGTCAAGGTTGGGGTGGGCACTGTGAGGAAGCCAGGGACCTGATGTCCTGTGGGAGGAGGCAGCACAGGTGTCACAGGCCCAGGAGCCAGGTGGAGAAGCAGGCTAGAGGACACAGTGCTCACCCCAAGCCACCAGGGTTCAGGCAGGGGCAGTGTCCCAGTCTAGGGGCTCTTCTTCTACTTCTGAGGCTGTGGTCTTCTTAGAGGCAAGATGCCCCCACACCCTGGGAAGGTGACCTTTCTCTATGCCTCAGTGTCCCCATCTGTGCACAGGGAGGCCCTGTGCTCACTAGCCCCCCATCCCTTCTCCAGGCATGGTGCTGGACGACATCACGCACTCTGGCTGCCTGCCTCTGGCACAGTGCCCCTGCACCCACAGCGGCCACACCTACATGCCCGGGACCTCCTTTACTACCGCCTGCAGCTCCTGGTGGGCCCCCAGCTTTGACAGGGTGGGAGGGGTGGGCCCGCCTCTTCCCCACACCCCTCCTGCTTACGGTCTTTCCACCCAGCACCTGCTTTGGGGGTCTGTGGCAATGTCAGGACCAGCCGTGCCCTGGCACCTGCTCTGTGCAGGGAGGGTCCCACATCTCCACCTATGACAAGAAGACATATGATGTCCACGGAGACTGCAACTACCTTCTGTCCAAGGTGCGGCCCCGGCAGGGCCTCTGGGTCCCTCAGTCCTCCCACCCTAGTGAGGGTTCCTGGTGGCTGTCTGCTTGGGGGCACTCCCCTGCTGGGAGGGAAGCCCCAGGCCCCGAGACAAGCTGCCTGGAGGTGACCTGGTGCCAAGGCCACTTTTCCACGGGGCCACATCCAGCCCTCATCAGCATTGGGCACAGGGATGCTCCTGTCCCACACTCAGCTCACACACACGCGGTCTCCCAACAGAAATGTGCCGACAGCAGCTTCACTGTGCTGGCTGAGCTGCGGAAATGCGGCCGGACAGACACAGAGAACTGTCTCAGAGGAGTGACACTCAGCCTCAATGGTGGGGACACGGTGAGAGACCAGTCCTGTGCACCACCGTGCCCTGGGCTGGGAGTAGCAGAGGTGGGAGGCCTGGGAGATGAGTCAGACCCCCTGCTTTGGCTCCCGGGGCAGCCACTTCCCAGGTGGACAGTTCTGGGGCCCACCACGCCTGTCACCCTGAGCTTCTCTCCGGCTCTGTCCCTGTGGGGTCCCCAGGCCAGAGCTCGCTCCCCTTTGGGTGGCCAGCTGGGGCTGGCTGCCACAACAGCTCCTCCAGCCACTGACCGTGACCCCGCCCCTCCAGACCATCCGGGTCCAGGCCAGCGGTGGCGTGTTCATGAACTCCATCTACACCCAGCTGCCTGTGTCAGCAGGTGCGTAGCTTCCTGAGACACCGGGCTAGGTTCAGCACCTCCCAAGTAGGGTCAGCCCCTGAGCCCAGCAGGGTCCAGCTCTTCCCCCGCAAGTCCTTCATGGCCTCTTACCTACAACTTGGGGGTGGCAAAGGTCCTGCCCCAGGATGCTGTGGGGACCTGCCCTCTTGGGAGGTTAGCAGTCCTTCAGGACCTGTGAATACTGTGGGCCACAGGCATGAGAGCTCCTGCCTATGCTGCAGGATCGAGCAGGGTGGCTGGGCCCAGTTGCTACCTGTCCCAGGCAGCACTGCCTGTCTGGCTAGCCAGGCTTCAAGTACCCCTGACAGCCCACCCCTCCACCACAGCCAACATCACCATCTTCAGACCCACGTCCTTCTTCATCCTGGTGCAGACAGGCCTTGGCCTGCGGGTGCAGGTGCAGCTGGTGCCCCTCATGCAGGTGTATCTCAGGCTGGACCCCGCCTACCATGGCCAGATGTGTGGTGAGGCCCTGGTGGTTTGGGGCCTGGGCTGGGGAGGGGGTCTGTACACAGCTGGAGGCTGCCAGGCAGTGGGTAGACGGAGGCTGGCAGTGGACAGGGAGTGCTGGAGACCCCAGCATCAGCCCAGGATGCCTGACAGCTGACTGGTGGCCAGGGAAGTGGCCAAAAAGCAGAGCGCAAGCGGTGCTGCCCCAGCTCAGGCCAGCCTCTACCCAGCTTATCTGCAGATGGTTCTGGAAGCAACCCCAGGGGAATTCCCCCTTTATCTGCCTTGAGGATTGGGGAGGACAGGCTGAGTAGACAACTTGCTGTAGCTGCTGCCTGGCTCCTGCCCCCAGGGCTGTGTGGGAACTTCAACCAGAACCAAGCTGATGACTTCATGGCCCTCAGTGGCGTGGTGGAGGGCACAGGTGCCGCCTTCTCCAACACCTGGAAGACCCAGGCTGCCTGCCCCAATGCCAAGAACATCTTCGAGGACCCCTGCTCACTCAGTGTGGAGAATGGTACCCTCTCCCCCACAATCCCACCAGGCAGCCCTGACTGACCCTAGGACCACAGGGACTCTGGCAGGGCTTGAGTGGCCTTATGTAGGCAGATGGCATGAGTGGGTTAGAGTTAAGGAGGGAGGCACCCTGGGCATGATGGTGGAGGCCCCACATTCCAGCCCCATTCCCTGGCTGAGAGGCCGGTGAGGGGCAGTAGCCACTTCTCTCCCTCTCCAGAGAACTACGCCCAGCACTGGTGCTCACTGCTGACCAACCGCACAGGCCCCTTCTCCGCTTGCCACTCCACCATCAACCCCTCATCCTTCTACTCGGTCAGAGCCCATGAGCGGCTGGGGTGGGCTGTGGGGGGCGGCTGGAGAGGAGCCCTTGGAGCACCCCTGCCTCATCAGGGCCTCATTCCCCACCCCACACACACACACACTGCCTCCCGTGGATTGGGAGAGCCCTGAAGTGAGAACTGCCCACTTGGAGCTGACGGACAGCATGGGCATGTAGCCAGAAGCAAGAGTCCTGGAAGCTCCCGGAGAGGGTCCTTCTGGCCTTAGGCTCCATGTGGACACCTGCTCTATGTCAACACTTCACTCTCATGAGGACGCCAGTCACTGGAAGAGGGCCACCGCTTGGCCTTGACTTTACTCCATTCTTTGCACACTTGGCCTGTCCAGAGGAGCTGGGAAGAACTCTGGGGCACCTTTTTGCAGACACAATTTAACCCACAACAGGTGGCTTGGGGGTCACTTTTCTGGAAGTCCAAAGTTCTAAAAAGCATGTGACCCTAGCCCTGGGGGTGTTCTCTGATGACAGAGCCAAGCTCAATCCCATGCCCATCCCGTTGACATGCCTCTCACCAGACCCTTCCTCAGTTTCCCCTTCCCACCTAGCCACACACACCCCCACAGATCATCCTGAGTGAAGTATCTCCATGCAAGTTGGGCCTGTCCTAGTCTTGTGGACCCCAGATTTACCCAGTCCCGACCTGGCCTTCAGAGCAGACTCCACTCTGCTGGCCTGCCACCACTTCTCCAAGATGACCTCAAGCTCTGTTCCTAACGTGAGGCCTGGGCCACACCCCTAAGGAGGCCCCCCTGTCAAGTCCCCCACACGGGCCATCTGTCTTTGAGTCCTGACCCTGGGTGGATTAAGGGGGGAAGAAATAATGGGGATGAGGGACCCTGGGGACTAGGTCCCTGACCCTGATGTCTCTGGCCCCCAGAACTGCATGTTCGACACGTGCAACTGTGAGAAGAGTGAGGACTGCATGTGCGCGGCCCTGTCCTCCTACGTGCAGGCCTGTGCTGCTGAGGGCGTGCTGCTGCATGGCTGGAGGGCCGGCGTCTGCAGTGAGTGCCAGCTGGGGTACCCCCTCAGAGGATGGGGTCCCCTCAACAGCTGTCTAGGCCTCATGGGTGGGAGTGGGGCTTGCGGGCCTTGGTGAGGGACAGTGATTGCTTACTGGATTCTTGGCCAAGAGCTTTGTGTGTCCCCACCCAACCTCATGAGGACGTTCACTGTTCCAGTCAGAGGAGGTGGGGGGTTGGGCCAGGTGGCCAGCCATTGACCTGTCCCTCACCCTTACCCACACAGCCAAGTACATGAGCAATTGCCCCAAGTCTCAGATCTACCAGTATGTGGTGGACACCTGCCCGCCCACCTGCCGTGCCCTGAGTGAGGCCGACACCACCTGCAGTGTCAGCTTTGTGCCTGTGGATGGCTGCACCTGCCCGGAGAACACCTTCCTGAATGACGCAGGCATATGTGTGCCCGCCCAGAAGTGCCCCTGCTACTTGCATGGCACCATGGTGGCCAATGGGGAGACCGTGCAGGAAAACAGCATGGTGTGGTAAGGAGGGCCATGGATTGGGAGGGCCTGAGCTCCCTGTACCCCTCGCCCCTCCAAGCCACCCTCACAACTCATTACTGCCCCCAGCCCAGGCAGGCAGGGTCTGGCTGCAGGTCTGTCCATGCCAGATATTTCTGTGCCCCATCCCATCCCCGAAGGGATCTGAGACACAAAGGGACCAGGCTAGGGGAGGACACCTGCCAGGCCCTCTACCAAGAGGTCTGGAGGTTGTGTGAGGGTCTTGGGGACCAGAGAGTAGTGGCAGTGTGTGCCTTGTGGGCCTCCTGCCAGGCAGTTCTCACTGGGGCCAGCAGGGTGTGCCCTGACCCCACTCTTTCCCTGCCTTGAAGGCAGTCTCTTCACAAGCCATGTCAGTCAGTTTCCATCACCAGGACACGAAACCTGTGGCCAACCTATGACGAGGGTTACTCTAGCCACAGTTTTGGAGGTTGCAGGCTGGCTCTGCTGCTGTGTGAGGCAGGATGTTGTGGTGAACTTGCAGTCTGCATGGCGGGGAGCCAGAGAGTGAGAGAGGGGCCAGGGTCCCACATCCCCTCAACATCCCCTTTACCTGCCCCAGTGACCTCGCTCCTCCACTCCTCCCCATAGCTCCAAAGACTGGCTGCAAAGCCTTTGGCACGCAGGCCTTTCAGTGACATTCTGGGTCCAAACAGTAGGACAAGCTGAGGGCATGTCCTTCTCCCTATGTCCAGCTGCCTTCCTGAACATGCACCTGCCTTTTCCGGGTGGGGACCTCCACAGAGGCCCCAGGAGCAGCTTTCCCGCCTCTTCAGGAGGTGGGGCGGCCTGGAGAGGGCCGGCCCTTGGGGGGGCAGGAAGCCTGGGGTGGAGTCTGTGGGAGACGCTGGGTCCAGAGCAGGCTGGCCTGTCTCTTGCAGCTCATGTGCAGATGGGAAGCTGAGCTGCCTGGGAGCCCTGACGCAGAAGGCCGCATTTGGTAAAGCACCCGCCCTGCCCAGCGCCCTGGGGCCATCAGTCCCGGCCTAGACCCGGCCTCAGGCCCAGCAGAGTTGCTCAAGGTGGAGAAAGGCCAGGAGTCTGTCCCACAGTGTGGAGGTTGCCCTTGAGGTTGGGGTCCTGGGCTACACCACCTGGGCAGCATTCACAGTGACCTGGGCAGCATTCACAGCAGCAGGATGGAGTCAGCCGACTTGGGGTCCAGGGCGACTCTATCCCTGGGCCCCTCCCACGTGCTTGATCTCCCCAGGCTGTGTGGCGCCCATGATGTATCTGGACTGCAGCAATGTCTCAGCGGGCACCCCAGGGGTCGAGTGCCTCAGGAGCTGCCACTCCTTGGACATGGACTGTGTGAGTCTTTCCGGGCACAGCCATGCACAGCCCATGGCCCCAGCCGACATCCTAAGCTAGGGGGATGCAGCCTGTGATGATCCTGGGTCCTGATGCCTCTGGGGGACCCATGGCTGTGAGCTTTGTGGACCCAGGTACTCCACACCTGTGTGGCTTCTGTTTGGACACTCCTAGGATGGACAGTGTCCACTTGGTGTCCTAAAACCCTGAACTGGGGCAAACAGGCCTCTCTTAGTCCCTGACCCAGACTCCCTGTGCCCCATAGTTCAGCACACACTGTGTCTCAGGCTGCGTGTGTCCCCCGGGGCTGGTGGCAGATGGGAGTGGGGGCTGCGTTGCCCAGGAGGACTGCCCCTGTGTCCACAATGAGGCATCCTACAAGCCGGGGGCCACCATCCGGGTCGACTGCAACACCTGGTAGGTCTTGATCCCCTTAGGGTCAGCGGGCTTGGAGGTGTACATGGGGACAGTGACTGGAAATGGCCTGGGTGTAGCAGAGCCTTGGCAGGTGGCCATGCTTATAGGACCCCATTCTGTGGAGAAGGGGCCTGGGTCTTTGACCCATGGTGACAGGATGCATGCCCACGGCAAGGTTGCCCTTGCCACAAGTTTGCCCCTGAGCCTGGAGGGGGCAGAATGCAGGCACAGGAATGGCCAGCAGCCTCAGAGGGCAAGCTCTGTGAGCAACCCCCCACCCCACCGTCTAACAGCACCTGCAGGAACCGCCGGTGGGAGTGCAGCAGCCAGCCCTGCCTGGGCACCTGTGTGGCCTATGGGGATGGCCACTTTATCACCTTTGATGGCGAGCGCTACAGCTTCGAAGGCAGCTGCCAATACACCCTGGCCCAGGTGGGTGCTCCCACCTCTCCCCAAGGCTGGTGGCTGGGGCCCATGACCCTGGCCCAGGTGGGTGCCCCCACCTCTCCTGAAGTCTGATGGCTGGGGCCCATGACCAGCGTCATCTCTTCCTGCCCAGGACTACTGTGGGGGCAATGGCAGCTCCAGCGGGACTTTCCGCATCACCACTGAGAACGTCCCCTGTGGGACCACAGGAACCACCTGCTCCAAGGCCATCAGACTCTTCCTGGGGGTGAGAGCACATGAGCAACCCCTGCAGCCCCCCAGCCTGAACTCCATCCTGGGCTCTCTGCCACAGTGTGTTCCCGTGGTGCGTCACGGACACGCCCAAGCCCAGGACTCAGGACAGCAGATGCTTGCTGCCTCTCCATCCTGGGGCCAGAGGTCCCAGATCAGAAATGCAGGGCCAGGCTCCTGAGAGGCCTGGGAGGGCCCTTCATGGCTTGTCAGTTCTAGGGACCTCAGTGTCCTTGTCTTGTGGCCATTCCACTCCAGTCTCTGCCTGTGTCTCCTCACGGCCTTCACTGTGTGTGCTCTCGCCTCTCTCATAAGTACATTGCCATGTAATGCAGGTTGATCCCATTTCAAGATCCTTCTCTGAATCACCTGCAAAGACCCCCTTCCCCATAAGGTCACAGTAACATAGCCTGGGGATTCAACTGTGGACCAATTTTTCGGGGGGGGGGGGCATAATTCACCCTACCATGCCTGGGGCACTCCTTTCAGAAAAAGCATTCACGAGGCAGAAAGAAGAGCTCTGGATCAGGGCGCTTCTCCCTCGAAGGATGGGGAGGAGCTGAGAAGGCAACAATAGGTCGGACGAGGGGAGTGAGGGGTGGCATGGGGCACAGGGCTGGACAGAGTGGGCCTTTGGGGGCTCCTCAGCTAGTACACAGCCTGACATTCCCACAGCCTCCCCTAGCTACCAGCACTTTCTGCCATCCTCCGGCCAAACTCCCTCCACCAGGGTTCCTTACACCTCAATCCCCTGTGTGCGTGAACTCCCTGGCTGGAGAGGGTCCTCAGGGTTGGCAGGCTGGCTTCTGGCCCCTAGCAACCTGCAGCTGTTGTCCCTGTGTGCCTCCATCTGCAGAGCTATGAGATGATCCTCCACGAGGGGGGCTTCAAGGTGTTGGAAAGGGGGCAGGGTGGGGATCTGCCCTACAAGATCCGCTACATGGGCATCTTCCTGGTCATCGAGACCCGCAGTGGGCTGGTGGTGTCCTGGGACCGGAAGACCAGTGTGTTCATCGGTCTGCATCAGCATTACCAGGTGAGTGCAGGCCAGCAAGGGCTTCCTCCTCACCTGGCCTGGAAGGAGAGATCACCTACACAGCCAGGTTCCAGAGTGAAGAGTTGAGCCACACTCACTGACAGGTGCTTTGGAGCCTGGGATGGATGCTGGCTCTGTCCACTGGCCTTTACTTTGGCAGAGGGCTCTCTGGGGTACCCCAGGACCTGCTTCACACCTTGTGCCCATGCAAGTTCCCTCGGTGCTGCCCAGGGGAGCTGGGTGCCCTCCCTCTTCTGCTCCTGGCCAGGCTCTGTGCCCAGGCTCCCTTCTCCCTGTGCTCCTGCAGGGCAGGGTCTGCGGCCTGTGTGGGAACTTCGATGGCAATGCCCTCAATGACTTCACCACACGGAGCCATGCCGTGGTGAGCGATGTGCTAGAGTTTGGAAACAGTTGGAAGTTCTCCCCGTCCTGCCCGGATGCCCTGGTGCCCAAGGACCCCTGCACCACCAACCCTTACCGCAAGGCCTGGGCCCAGAAGCAGTGCAGCATCATCCATAGTGCCACCTTCGCCACCTGCCACTCTCAGGTGGGGCTCAGAAAGACCCACAGCTCTGGGCCTGGTGGGCAGGGGCAGCAGATCGTAGCCTCTGGGTAGGGCTGTGGATGCAGCGGGCCTCGGAGGATAGTCTTGACCTGACTGCATCCCACAGCACAGGGTCCTGCAATCCGGGTTCCAGTCTGGCTCTCCCACTAGGCAGGCTCTGTGGTCTTTGTGCCAAGCATGGAAGTGTCTTCATTGTTTTGGGACCCATCCTTGAGCACAGCTCTCATCAAAGCTTCCCAGGGAGGGATCCTTGACATATCCTGTGACAATCTCCAGAACTGCCCAGGCCGCAACACTAACAGAAAGCTAGCAGGGGCGTCTCCTAGAGGAAGTGGGGATAGTTTTCAGTAGAGACTTCCAAATATCATTTCCCGTGGCTTTAACAAATACTGAAGTATCCACTCAGGGGCATGGCTTCCTCATTCAGGATCCTAAGTGGTAGTGAGAGGAGGGTAGCTCATGTAGGAACAGCTGCTAGCTAACACACAAAGTGACCTTTGCTGAGGTCACTCCCCATGGCCCATCCTTAGACGCAGGTAGCTGCATGCAGGTAACTTCCATTGACTTGGAAGATGCTTAGTGGCTGACAAAATTGACCTCAGTTTTGAAGGCTGCCATGTTGAGGGAAGGAAAAAATTGGATCCACCTATGGGTCTACTGTCCAGAAGAATGTGAGTTGGGGGCTGCCCCTCCTTGACCTAGACAATGGGCAGCTCCTTGTTGTCCAGGCAGGTTAACCATGTGGCCCAAAGTGCAGTTTGGAGTTAAGCAATACCTGTAATCTGGCATGAGCTGTCCAACCCAGTACTTCCTCAGGGCACATCCTGGGTGCCAGGCTCAGCCCAGCGAATGGGAACAGAACCTGCTAGCATGGAGCTCACCTTTGGGAGTGAGACAGCCAGGCGGTCAGGGTGGGCTCTGCATAGGAGCCTGGCAGGGAGTCACCAAGGCCATGGGAGCAGCAGTCCAGGGAATGAGTCAGCCAGCAGGATGGTAGAGGGGGCCAGGAGGCTTGTGGGCTGGAGCAGAGCAAACCAAAGGCTTGGGAGCAGAGAGGCAACCAGGGATGGCTCGTGTCCCTGGCAGGTCTGGAAACTGCACCCCATGAGCAGGTTCATATAAGAAGGTCTGAGGAGCATGAGTATGGGTGCCCCAGTGGGCAGGTGCCCAGGTGGGCTGCAGAGGTGGTGCTGGGCAGCTCCCATTTGGGATACTCTAAAGATACTTGAAGCCCAGGATCCAGGATCTTGGACCACTGGTGTGGGATTGACCTACAACTGGCTGCAGAAACTTGCCCAGGGCCAGCTGGCTCCTGTCCGCAGCACACGGTGCCCTCTCCCTTTGCTCCAGGTCGACTCCACCAAGTACTACGAGGCCTGTGTGCATGACGCGTGTGCCTGCGACTCGGGGGGAGACTGTGAGTGCTTCTGCACCGCTGTGGCCGCCTATGCCCAGGCCTGCCACGAAGCTGGCGTGTGTGTGTCCTGGAGGACGCCAGACGTCTGCCGTGAGTAGGGGCTCTGCCCATGTGCTGAAGGGCGTGGAGGTGGGAGGTGGGGCTGTAGCCTCTGTAGCCACATGTAGGCTCTGGGACTGCCTGGCAAGCAGACACACAGACACCCAGTGTGTGTGAGACTGCACACACATGCACGTCCACCTGCACAGCTGTAAACATAGGCAGACCAGACAGACTCTCCACAACAATGTGGTTCCCAATAAAAAAGGAGCTACAAAGGCAGGGCGAGGGATGGTACCTCAAGCCCTACATACCTGGGCTCAGCCCAGGATGGGCCCTAGGGACATGCCAAGGGAGGTAGCCTGGCAGGCACACACTTAGTCTCCACTCTTTGTGCCCAGCGCTATTCTGTGACTACTACAACCCCCGTGGGGAGTGTGAGTGGCACTACCAGCCCTGTGGGGCCCCCTGCCTGAGAACCTGCCGGAACCCCAGTGCACACTGCCTGTTTGACATGCCTGGCTTGGAAGGTAAGAGCAATGTCCTGGGGGGACCTCCAGGGCCCACTGCCAGGGCGGGCCTACAACTCTTGAGATGTCTGCTGCCAGGGGTGGGGATGCTAGGCTGCCCCTAGCTGACCCGAGAGGGCTTGAGACTCAGTGAGAACCCATACCCATCCTAGGCTGCTACCCAAAGTGTCCACCCAGCAAGCCCTTTTTCAACGAGGACCAGATGAAGTGTGTGGCCCAGTGTGGCTGCTATGATGAGGATGGAAACTACTATGACATTGGCACGCAGGTCCCCACAACCCAGAACTGCCAGAGCTGGTGAGGCAGGGGATGGCGGGGGTACAGGGAAGGGGTGGCCCCCGCAGGCACTCAGCCTCCCCTCCCTCCTGCAGTCACTGCACCCCTGGCGGCCTCCAGTGCTCTCACAGTCCCTCGGGTAAGGAAGGGCTACTGGGTTGGGTTGGGGCTGGGTTAGAACCTGGGAGTGAGCCCATACCTGCCGGCCCCCAGCCTGCACATGTTTCTACGAGGGCCGGACTTACGGCTACCAAGACATCATCTACAACACCACCGACGGCCTCGGTGCCTGCTTAATGGCCATCTGCGGAAACAATGGGACTATCATCAGGAGGGCGGAGGAATGTCCTGGAACCCCGTCCACAACACCCTTCACCTTCACACCCTTCACCACAAGTAAGCCCTACCTGGCTCAACAGAAGCCCCTGGCCTGGGCCATCATGTAGCCTGTGGCAAAGTGATGTTTGGCTGAGTCTGGGACAAGGGAAGACCCCGGGACACATGCCGCAGGAGACCCTATTGCAGAGGACCCCTGGGTCCTGACCCATGACCTGCTAGAGACTCTATCAGGGGTCCATGTTCTCATGCCCTACCTGTAACCAGGACCCAGGAAGTCTAGGCACAGAGCTGGCAGGGCTTCCACAGGCACCATAAAGATCTCCCAGGTCCCAGCTGATCCTCAGCACAACCCATGCCAGCAACTGTGTTTCCTTGCCTGGACACGGGCAGCCAAGCCCAATGCCCTAGTAAGCAATAACCCTGAACAAGGCGTGGGCTGGCCCTTGTATGAGGGGCTCACTATCACCAGCTCCTACTGGGCATGGCGAGGACCAGGCTCATGGACCTCTCACTCCATGCAGGCACAGTGCCCACAGCATCCACGGTGTGTGTTCGCGAGGTTTGCAACTGGTCCAGCTGGTACGACAGCAGCCGTCCAGAGCCTGGTATGGGAGGTGGCGACATGGAGACACTTGGGAACCTGAGGCAGAAGGGGTACCAAGTGTGCCAGGCCCCGGCAGCCATCGAATGCCGTGCAGAGAAGTTCCCCAGCACGCCGCTGCAACAGCTGGGCCAGAAGGTGAACTGCGACCCAGACAGAGGTCTGACATGCTTCAACAGTGAGCAAAGCCCGCCGCTCTGCCACAATTATGAGCTGCGAGTGCTGTGCTGCACCCATGTGCCCTGTGGTCACACCCCGTCCCCGGGTACCAGCACCATCAAACCTCAGTCAACAACACAAGGCACCTGCCAGCCTCAATGTGAATGGACAGAGTGGTTCGACACAAATTATCCCAAATCTGAGGAGGACGGGGGAGACATAGAGAGTTACGACAGGATTAGGGCAATGGGGGGCAGTATCTGTGAACACCCACAGGACATAGAGTGTGAGACAGACCTCTACCCTGGAAAGAGCCCAGAAACATTGGGACAGCAAGTAAAGTGTGACGTGCACTACGGCCTGGAGTGCCACAACAAGGACCAGACAGGGCTGTTCCCCATGTGCTACAACTACAGACTGCGAGTCCTCTGCTGCAGCACAAGCCACTGCGCAGAAACAGCTAGCAAACACCCACTGACCACAGTGCCAAGCAACACGACAAAGAGCACACACACACTAGGGTCAGGGTCAACAAAACCAACCAAACACATCCCCCAGCCTGCGACGGCACAGACCACCACCCACTGCCATCCCAGGTGTGAGTGGACAGAGTGGTTTGACATGGACTTCCCCACATCTGGGGTCGAGGGCGGGGACATGGAGACCTATGAGAACATCAGGGCCGCAGGGGGCAAGATATGCCAGGAGCCCCAGAAGATACAGTGCCGGGCAGA